GCATTCCTTGGGTCAAGTTCTAATGCAGGTACTCAAAGAGGCCTCAAAACTTTTGTCTGGTGCTGGTGCTTTGTGTCCAGTTCTTACACCAGCAAAGAAAATACTTAAAAGTATAAACTTGAGGCATCTCTGTGTCCAAAGCTCCATTGGTTCAGCCGAACTGGTGCCATCCCACAGGAACAGACCTGACGCAAGAGCCTGAAACAGTAACGAGATGCAAACTGTCCCATTTATTGCATTGAGATTAAAATCCAGACATGATCTGTTGATTTCTATTAACAACTTAATAGGCGATCAAACTGCAAAAGGTAAAGGGATAGTTACAGTGCTATTGTCTCATTTAAAGAGACACCTTATTCTGCTGTAAAGTCAGGAAGATGGTGCTGCAAGCAAAGCCTCCCAATGAAAGTTTTGGTGTATGCAGGACAGCCAAGGAACTGGGATGGATGTGGATCCTGCAGTGTGCACAGCTTTAATGAGGTCCTCACTGAGGGCCACCAAACAAAAAGCCCAGCATGGAGAAAAGAAACAAATCTTTTAGCTTCCATCACATAATGGGCAAGTCAGGATTTCTTCTTAAACATCAAGAAGGTGAGAGATTTGGGGGTTCAGTTTGAAATAGTAAATATTATTTCCCCGAGTTTCCACAAATCGGCTTAACTTTCATAAGCTAATCGTATTACTTTTAATTTACATTTTTCACTTTCATGTAGATGTGTTCCAAGCAACTTTAGTAGGAAGAAACCCCTGGAGAGGTCAGTGTGTACTTACCTCAGACTCTAAACATGCCTGCTGATTTGGGGAAGGACAAAAGCATTCAGGACCAGGATTTTTGGTAGAGCTTTGCCAGCTCAAGAAGAGCTGAGGCACCTTTTCACAACCCTCTTCCCTGTGTTCATGCATGCTAGTAACAACTGACTTGAGGATAATGGTAGTAGCTCTTTTAAACTGGCCATGCAACAGCTTGTGAGGGTTTTAAGTAACTGTGAAAGCAGTTACTTTAAAGCTTTTTTTAGAAATATTCATAGTGAAACATTCAGACACATGTTTGATTTAAAGTGCGAGTTGATTTTTTAATGTAATTTTTTTTGAAGGATAAAAGAAAATTTTCTTAGCTTTACGATAAATATTGAATTAATTCACGTTTATTAACAAGCATCTAGATATGATGGCACTTAGGACACCTTCAAGACCTTCTTAATGCCACTGTCTCTGTGGTTAGGTCAGACTGTAAGTGTAGGTGATTGGAAATGCAAATGGTAATGTAAGTGAAATTCTTGCTGTCATTTCTGAAGAGTAGTGAGGGACCTGTATTCCAAGAAAACAGTTGGCCAGGTTAATGAGCTAAGAAAAATATAGTGTGTATTAGCTGTAAATAGAGGTAAACATAAACCAAGGGGGCCTGTCACACTTTCTTCAGCACATTCACCATTCTTACTCGTTCCTCATATGCAGGCATGTGGTCTTCAGTGACAACAACCCTGCCCGCCAGCTCTAGCACACTTGCCTTCTGTTAAAAATCCCCCAAAGTCACCGAAGTGCAGTATGAGCAAGCTGCTCCTGGGTTACTGGGTAGCTGCTGTGAAATCTGGAGGCTAAAAAATAAAACCAAATACCAGCTCTGAGAGCAGGTGTTCCTCACAGAAGGTGTGCAGGAGAAGGGAAGGAAGGCAACTGAATTCCCATGGCTGGTCAGTGACTTGGGGATTCAGCACGGACACGGACACGGCAAACTGAACGGGAACCAGCCTGGCCAAAATGCCACTTTCTGATACCCTATTAAATTAGCAGCTACGATTGTGAACGCTGCTGTGTTTAATACTTATTAAGGATGTGATGGAAAGCCAAAGACTTTTACATTGTTTGATGGTAAATCCCAGCTTGTTCCCAAGTACAAAAAAAAGTATGTCCTCTGAGAGATATTAGCTAGATGCAACAGAATAAAAACATTGACTTCAGTTTAGACATTTTATGTATACACAATGTTACTGTAAACAGAGGCTTTACACCTTTAAAACTACATTAATCATACATGATATATGCCTTTTATTTTCTCCCCTAAGAGACTGAGAACTGGAGAACAGCCAGAAACAGGAGTCTGAAACCTTCAACCCAACCCAGGGTTCCAGCGTATGATTAAATACTTGATTACACATAAGTTTACTGCCACAATGTGACTTTTGCAGTGGATGTGGAGAAAGAGGGAGTCTCACTTCTCAGGGGAGTGTCCTCTCTAGAGGCATTTACATTAGCTCACAGAGTCAGCTTCTGAGATACAGTCATAGAATTGTTTAGGTTGGAAAGCACCTTTAAGATCATCAAGTCCAACCATTAACCTAACTCTGCCAAGTCCCCTGCTAAGCCATCTCCCTGAGCACTGCATCCACACACCTTCTGAACATAGCCAGGGATGGTGATTCAGCCACTTCCCTGGGCAGCCTGTTCCAGTGCTTGAGAACCCTTTCAATGAAACCATCTACCCTAATATCCAACCTAAACCTCCCCTGGCACAACTTGAGGCCATTTCCTGTTATCCTATTACTTGTTACCTGTGAGATGAGACCAACCCATACCTCTCCACAACCTCCTTTCGGGTAGCTGTAGAGAGCAAGGTGGTCTCTCCTGAACCTCTTCTTCTCCAGGCTAAACAACCCCAGTTCCCTCAGCCACTCTTCATAAGACTTGTGCTCCAGGTCCTTCACCAGCTTAGCTGCCCTTCTTTGGACATGCTCCAGCACCTCCATGTCTTTCTTGTAGTGAGGGGCCCAAAACTGAACACAGAATTCAAGGTGTGCCCTCCCCAGTGCCAAGTACATGGGGATGATCGCTTCCCTAGTCCTGCTGGCCTCACTATTTCTGATCCAAGCCAGCATGCCATTGGCTTCTTGGCCACCTGAGCACACTGCCGGCTCATATTTAGATGGCTGTCAGTCAGTACCCCCAGGTCTTCTTCTGCCAAGCAGCTTTCTAGCCAGTGATGCTCATTCCCTTACACAAAACTTGTAGAATAAGCATGCATTAAGATTCATGAGAAAAACAAGTTACTCTATCCTTTTACTCTTTTACTTCAGAAAATCTAGTATTATCCCAAATGTCCCCCCAATAACTGACAAGCTTATTGCTCAATAGCTTGTCTTATGTGTTGCTATTTCCTCAATGCTATTAAACCTGTTCCTGCATTTTCTCACTTTGAGACTTCTCATTCATCCAAAATTTTCATTAATTCAAAAGAAAAAGCATAATTTGCTCCAGTTGTATCATCTAAATCTTCTGCCTCCTGTTACTTGCATAACTGACAACAAAGAAACTTTGTATTTTCATGATAAATCTCATCAGCTTTGTAATAGTGCACCAAAAACCACAGCAATATCATTCTGCCAGACTTTGTATATTTTCAGAGTTCTCTCATCACAGCCATGAGAAGTGTGCTCAATAAGCTAAAGTCTTGATACAACTTCAAGATTATCTGATTAGCACATTCCTTTTTGTTAGAAGATCAGCTTTTCTGAAAGCAATCTTTCTCCTTTTGATTTTTATAAAGTTGTATTTGGCTCTTTAAGCATTCTCATCTTCCCCATTTTTCCTCCTCATTCCATCTGATTGCTCTGTAAACCCCCTCCCCCCCCCCTAAATTATTTTCTGATTCAGACTGCTCTGGTGCCGGTCCACTAAGTCAATAAGAACTTTGACAATTTTTTTGTTGGCAGATAAGTTATTTTTCACCTCCAACAAGGACATCAGGGATGCTTTTATGCTGTCGCCTTGATCATGGTTTTGGCTCCCCTGTAGCCAAACCCCCCCGATAAGCACAATGCTGTGAGATGAAACTGCACCGGTGGGAATACGCGAATCCCTCGTGGGAGGCAGCATTTTGACTGAGGCAGAGCAGAGGATCCAAACATTAGGAAGTACTCTTCAGGAGTTTTGCCAATGTGGCTCTTTTCTGACAGGTAATAATAATGCAACATTCCACTGATCAGGATCTTCTCTTCATAAACATGGGGGTTCTGTCATGGCACACACAAACTAAGAAATAAGGCTAAATACACAACCCCTTTTTTTAACTGTCAAGGTATCATTTAAACTTTTACCGAAATGTGTCAGGTTTAACCTTCTGGATTTAAATGTAGCTCTTTCAAATATCTGCAGTTTCGTTCAATCCTTTTCTTCCAAAATGACTGTTTGAAGAGAACCAGCGTGATCAAATCAGAATATCCACCTAAAAACGTAGCTGGCACTGTGAAACGGTTTAGAACACCAGCAAAATTTGGTTTTCTTAGGCCACTTAGGTGTTTGGCCAAGTTCCTCTGTCCTTTTTTCCCTGAATAGTTCAGTATTATTCCAGACATTACTAACCAGTGATGACAAGAATTTGAAGTTTCCAGCATATCCCTTTCAGACAAACAAAGTGAGAGTCGAGTTCTACAGGTAACTTTTAATGCACATCTTGAAAATTTGAAACGATTCTGATATTTTTCCCTTCCAAGTACATGTGATAGCATTTTCTTACATAGATTTTTACCTGTCACTAAAGGTTTATAGCAGTGATTCCCAGCTACCCTTTTCATTCTCAAACAAAAGCACAAATGGTTTACAGTCACGACACCTCACAATAGCCTCACTTGCCATTTATGCAAAATTTTTTTTAAAATTAAGCCTAAATACTTTTTTTTTTTTCATCTTCTGTCAAGTCAGGGTTTCCTCCTCATTTATGAATAGCTGTGGCTGGCAGAACACACTAAAGGTGCTGATGCTTGTGACTAATCCAGATGAAGTTCACGTTAGCTCACAGGAGATCATTTTCTTCAGTTCTTCATTCAGCTCTTACTCATCCCAGGTATCTCCATATTTATTTACTTTAACTGAAGGAAAGAGGAAAAAGTAATCACATATGACTTAATTTAACTGCCAAAGTTTACCTTCCCAAGAAGTATGATGAAATGCATTATCGTTTGAAGTGGTGAGTGGGGAGAGTGTCAGTCACAGCACAACAGACAACCAATTAAAGCTACTTTTGAATAAATCAGAGAAGAGTTTGTTAAGCATTATTCTTTAATGAATTAATATTCAGCCAAGAGGTCTACTGTGCCAATTCCTGCTCTACAGAATTTGTAATTACTTTGAAACAATGTAATGTTTGGATGAAACAAAGACAATCGGAGGAAATGGGCAAGGAACGTTACAATAAATAATGTGGCTACATAATCTAGTTACATGCACAATTAGATGGATTCAGGATAGTTAAAACCCATTCAAAGACAAATAGAAATAAGTAATACCTACTAAGAAACTCCTCAACTACTATTATATGGCAGCTTTGCTTAGGATAGGAGTGAATCAGAGTCAAAAAACTCAGATACCAGGCTTAATGGATTTATTTTGCAGAATGTCAAGAGCAACCAAACAACAGCCCAAAAGCAGAATGTTCCTCTCTTGAAAGTAAGCTGTGAAGTGGTCTGTGATTGGCTGCCATCACTGCCAGGGTAAAGGAAGGATCTATACAATCCAGTAGGAATGCTGCCACTACTCAGACAGGCCTTTACAAATGCCCTCGGAGGTTAATTACCACGCCCACCGTTTATTCCTGCCCATCTGCAGTAGCACCAGTGGAATGGAGCAGCACGCACGGCCCTGGCTCCACTGAGATGCCAGCACTGAGCACAGTGCACTGAAAACTCTCTTTTAAGCTGATCAATATTGCAGTGAGGCACAATGCGTTGCTCTCCCAGGAGTACAGCTTCATTTCCACTAACCCTGGGAGCTGAGCAGGCTGTGCCCACTCCCTGGAAAACGGTGTGGTGCAGTGCAGACCACCGCACGGGTGCCCATCTCTGTGCAGCTACAGCCAACAGAGAAGGCACCAGCGGACAGAAGTGAGGGACTACTTAAAACTGGCTTAAACGAGGTTTGTTTTCCCTTCTGTCCTTGCTCAGAGGGCAGAAATCACTGTCCCTGTTTGCTGCCCGGGTTCCTATGGCACAGAGGTAAGAGGATGAACAAAGGGTTAATGACTGAGGACGTATGAACAGGCAATGTGGTAAGGTGTCCAGTGTGACACAAGAACCTCAGTCAGATCTTAGCCCTCAACATCAGTGGAATCCCTGAACTGCAGATTTAAATGTACTTCCATTTGTAAAACAGTTCTCAACTTTGGTATTCCCCCCTTACTCTTTTTCTCGAGAAATACAAAGAGATACTCTTAAAAGTTTATTTACAAATCTCATGCACTGCTCAGTGTAGTTCTAGTCACAAAGCCTTGGGTATAACCATCAAATGGTTATACAGAAACATAACAGGCAGCATGCATTGTCTGATCAACATTTTACAGAGGTCTTTTACAGACCTCAAATAACTACAAATAAAATAATGAATACATAGTCTCATTTCACAGCTGTTAAGATTTCCCATGGATTATGGCAAGTTTTGCAGAACGCTGCTTAAGATTTCTGTGTATGGTTTTCAAGTGACACTTCTAGGCATTCTATGTGTGGAGAAATATCTTGGAAAAAAAACACTCTGTAAATCAATGAAGTGTCAGCTGATGGAATTTAGAAGCAATCTGAAGCTACAGTTCCCTTAATTGTTTCTAAATCTCATTTGGCATAGTCAAAGGCTTTCATCCTTGAAATAACAGATTTAAATCATTACCCAATAATTGTTTCTTATTTCGAGGCTGTGTAGATCAGTCCAAAGACAAATAATCCAGAAAAAGGCATTCACAGGCATGAAATACATGGACACTCTTAAGCAGCACTGTTCCAAAGTTTACTATTACTGCTTCAGATCTTTTTGCTTTAATATACTTTTCTATACGTACTACCACCTGTTAGGCCCAACAGGAGATGTCAGCTATTCCCACAAATCTTGTGGCAACATGATTGACAAGGCTGGACACTGCACACAAACCCAAACCAGTTCAAGCTGACTAGTCCAGCAGTGTTAAATGGCAAGACATTCCTCTTGCTGACATTATTTTCACAGATGCCATACTAAATTAAAAAACTTCTAGAGCAAGCAATTATGAATTGCTTCTGTGTCTCCTTCTCAAAAAAGAAACTTGTCCAAAAGTTGACTGAATAGTATCTCATTCTTCAGGACACTGCATTCTTATTTTGTCATGTAAAGTTTTGTTTTTGACTGTGAAAACAAATCTCAATACTGCTGCCAAATACTGTTTCCTGCCTTTGAGTTTTAATGTAGAAAATGAACCTCTACAAACAATACCTCTATAGAAATCCACTCATTCCACATGAAACAATTCAGAAAAATAAGCACACACACCTCCCCTCAAAACCATCAACCACGTGCTCTATTTTGAGAGAACAAAGTTATCTAAAACATACACCTCCTTCCTAAAACTCTTCAGTGGGGCTCTGCGTTCAAAGAATCCTTTGTGGAAAGAGGTTGCTCAACATGTTCAAAAAACCAACAGCTATGAGATTTTTGGTCTGGCATCAAGCAATACGGCTAGAGAAGAATTCTAATTTGCTACTGGAAGATCAATATTTTTTAAAAAATAGTTTTAAATATGAAACTACAGACTCTGTCATATACGAGATACCTGCAGATACTGTAAAAATTAACTGCTTAAAGGGCAAGCAGAATTAAGACCTGGGTTTGTAACCATTTTTGACATTATTGCCAATATTTTCATTTACTATGTATTTTTGTAAATGAGTATGTTACCTTCCTTAGCTGGTCTTTCCTGCGAAAACTTGCTTGGAGTTTCTGCCTTTGGTGGTAGCATTACCTCATATGTCTCTCTGTGTTTATTCCTTAATTCCTCATATGTGATGCCTTTTTTTTTACGACTTTCTTCTGGAATTGTAGCAGGATCTGAAAGCAAAAAACACAAAAATACTTGATGTCACACAGGAAAACTTGGCTACAACCTGTTCTAGAACATCAGTTAACTACAGCTCAATTCCAAATGAAAACGAGCATGACAGCTGCAATTTTAAATGCAACTGAGAATGTATGTGGTCTGTAATTAATCCATTCCTTTTGGACTTTTCATTTTGTCAAACCACTTTGGGAGACTGGCAGTTAATTCCTTTTCTTCATTTACCCAACGGAAATCCTAACAACTGTGCGGTAGCTGATGGGTAAAATAGTTCTAGACACTTTATGTAAGATTTATGACAATCATACATCTGGTATATTTGTGATTTCTGAAAAGAAATCTAAGTGAAGCTCAAGGGTTTCCATTCAGGCTTTAAATTCTGCATTCCATGTCACCTGATAAAATATTTTGTCCTTTTATCTACATTTACAATGCAGAATCTTGGTTCTACCATTAAAGTTCTACTGACTATTGATGTTTGTGATGAAGCATAATTACAATTTCCTTGATACATTTACATCTGACACTTCTATCTAACTAAAACCGAGTTGCACGAAAGGACTTTTTGTGAAAAAAAAAAAAAAACCTTTTCTGTAAAGGAGTTTAAAAAAGCCAAACCAATTCAAACCCTGCATCTGAGAGTAACTTCCTCCTCTGTGCACCAGAGAGACTGGAATTCTGAATGGTGTGTTCCCCCTGCAAGGGCTGAGGACAGGGCCCGTTTGGGCAGGAGGGGAACAGCTGCACACAACAGCACTTGAACTGTGTCAGCCCTTCGTGAGACAATCAGCTGTTGCCAGACAGAACACAACCTGCATTCACTTCTCAGAAGATTTTTTTAAATGTTTGTCACACTATAAAAAAGTTTAATACAGCTGAATTATAGCAGTATACAGTTACAGCACCACTGCTGGTGTAAATTAAATAACTCCAGACAGACCAGCTGACAAATGATAGACTGATGTTTCTTTAGTGCTGTATAAAGCTGGCATAGTCACCTTCATTTCAATTAAAAAGAACTTCAAGTCAGGCTAAGGATTTTTCCAAGTTGAGTTTCACAACAGATAAAAACTTGTCAGCTAATTTACAATCTTTACTTGCCATTAGAGCTACAAAACATGACAAAAAAAAATTCTGAATTTAGTTTACAGTTAGAACACAAAGTAATACATACACTTATCTCCTGTGTAAAAACAATTCTGGGAACTTCAAGTTGTTTAATTCAAAACCACTTGTACCGTACCATGTATGTTTGCGTGGGATGAAAATACATAGCCTGGCATGAGAAATACTGAAGAAAAACGTTAAGAGTCATTGTACTACAAGCAGCTAACAATTAAGACAAACACACCTTGAACAGTGTAATCAGTAATTCCTGTAGGTGAAGATTCATTCAGGGAAGCACTGAACGGAACAGGTTCGTAACTTGAAAGGGCTCTATCTGTTGAACTATAATCATCTGAGTAGCTAGAAGAAAGTGGGAATCCAGCTCTTGGAGAAGAAGATTCAGTAAATGACTGAGAAGGCATGTCTGAAAATTCAGATTTCCGACTGGAACGGCTGGAAAAATAACACAGTTAAATATTAAATACAGAAATACTGAAGTTAAAAAACAGAACTATAAGAATAACAATACATGCAGTTCAAGAAAACACTCTTTTATGTTAAGCAGTTTACTTTCCAACATGAATTATCATATTAAAAAAAAAAAAGTTAGGGTGTTTTTTTTTCTTTACATTGCAAGATCTATATAGTCCCTT